TTCTAAAATGTACTTAACGGGATCTTCTCAGCAATTTAGTCACTGGGGCCCTGTTCCTTATGTCTGAGGAGATTGAGTGGGTAATGCTGAGGACTTTTATTGGTGGAGAGCGTTTATGCATCACAAAAACGTGGGGGGGGGGCGCCGTGGGAGAGGATGCTAACTGCCAGCGGATCTCAAACATGTCCCTAGTCCAGGCCTTGCTCAGGAAACAGCCTCTTGACACTAATGCCCTAGCCAATTATCGCTCATTAGCAAACTGCCAGAGGTCATGGATAAGATAGTGACAAGCAAATACCAACAGCATCTGGAATCCTCCTGTTCCTTAGACATCTCCAATCTGTTTTCACACCTGGACATGGTGCAGAAACAACACATCATGATGGTCAACAATTTTAGTGAATCTGAAATACAAAGTAGTTTTTGAGCTCTGATATTAACACGTTGCATTATTCCAAGTTTGTGTAAACATAGAACCTCCTTTCCCTACACACCTTCCCCCTTCCCCCCCCCCCCCCCCACTCTTGCTTGGGAAAAATACATAAACAGGTGTTGTGAGCCTGAAACCATCTACAGAGCTGTGACTGTTTAGATGCTCATGTGGGGTATGCGCGCACAGCCTCAGCAGTCACTGCTTTTTAGATGTTTCTCTGTTATGGCATCATTTCAGGAGTATGGATATGCAAAGGCAATAGACTCAAGTAAACAAAAATACTGGTAAGTAACTTTTTCCCTTTCTAGTTCTGAAAAAATAGATTTATTGTGGCATACCAGTAATCAATTAAAAGTCCATCATGCTTGAATTCATTGGAAGATGTGTAAATAAAAGGGAGGTGAAAATACTGGTAGTTGGATCATTATTACTAATGTTTGTAATAAGTGTGTATAGTAACAGATTGTAAGGAGTGTTTTTCTGCTGTGCATTTTATATCACTTATCTTCTAATATTCTATTCTACATTCTTTACAGAACTTCACTAGAGCTGAGTGCAGTCAGAAAGCCTCACCCTTTTCTAGCATATGAAAGTAGCTGTCTTAGTGGTGAAGTCTGTGGCAGCACGGCAGTTTTATAGGTGGAGCTGGCAGCACAGGCTGTAGTTAAGGTTGTCTAACGCTTTACATTATACAACCCTGTTTTCAGTTGCTTATAACTTTTGCCAAACTGTAACTGTTCAGGCTTGAAATTTTCCATGCTGGGTGTTTGCCTCAAGTTGAATGTTTTTAAATTTTCAGCAAAAACAGTTCCACCAGTTCTGAGAATGAGGGTAGGGGGAAATGCATTGTTTCGCCAATGTTTTTGAAAAAAAAGTTTTTACTACTGTTTAGTTGAAAAACTGTAGTGCTTCCTTGGCTTGAAATGGACGCAAAATTTGGCAGGAGGTACATTCTGCTGCCCCCATGAAAATCTGACCAAACTTAATTGAATTATAGGCCTCTGAAAATTGCTGTTTGCACATGCCTAATGCAGGCTTGTAAGAGTTGGCATCAAAATTCTCCAAAGATTCCAGGGGCATTGAGCATGCACTAGTCCACAGCTTCAGGAGCTGAACAGGACTTCCCAGGACTTCCCTTCCTGGGTGTTTGGGACTGTACTGGCACCAGGCACTGGAACTGAGAGCAGGGAGACTCTTTCCTATGCTTTCAATGCTCACTCTGCTGTCATTGTGGAAGAGGAGGAGGAAGCAGCCTGACTGGAATGCATAAGGGGTGGGGACAGTGACATGCTGCAGGCAATAGGAGCAGAGATGGACATGGCAGAAGGGTTTATAACCTCTACAGCACATTCCCCTCTATAGCCTTGAATTGAACCTAGGGGTCTAGAGTTTCATCATTTTTCTGCTGACTAGCCATTCGCTGTGGGAACCCACTTGCAAAGTGTCTCTTGTAAGAAGTCTGCTGGTAAACTTATTCAGGGTTGTTCTTATAGCTCCAATGGAGGAGATATATGCTGAAATCTGATCATCCTCATGGGGGTTGATGGGGTTCCACATGGTGGAATTTGTTTTTCAGTTTGCCTTTTAAAAGCTTAAGAAATGACATTTTTAAGCATATCAAGGTTGCAAAGTCAAGCACTCGAATTAGGAAATCTGATGATTAAGATTGCATGTGCAACTTTATTCAGCTTCTTTGTGCCATCTTCAATTTGCAGTCTTTACTTACATGCTCACATTATTTTTTCCCCACAGGTTCTTTGTTAATCAGTGCACAGGATGGACCTGCTCTGGGGATGAATTGAGGTTAGGGTGAATGTGGCTGTAGTCTATAGCATCCTTGTATTATTTGTTACGGAAGTTGAAAGGTGTGGAGTGAATGAAACAGGGGACTGCAAGAAGAGAGAGGATGATACTGTGATTAGGCAGTTGACTACAGTGCTGAAGATTTTGATTTTATCCCTGTTACTGCGTGGTGCTGGTCAAGTGACTTAAAGTAAACTTCACAGGTGGCCTCTAATTGTTTGTTCCTCATCTTCTGGGTACCTGACTTGAGTTCCTGAGGTCAGATTTACAGAAGTGCTGAGCACTCCTACTAAAGCTGAAGTTGGTTGGACCTGTGCTTTGAACATATCAGGAATTGTAAAAATGTGAAGTACTCTGAAAAAATCAGGCCTTAGACATCTCACGTTGAGTATCCAACATTAGTGGATGCATGACAGTGGGACCTCACTTCCCATGAGTGTTGTCAAGATAAATTCATTAATGTTTGTGAAGTACTCAGATACTACAGAGAGGAATATTGCATAAATATCCATACACAGACTCCTGAGTTTGGATGGGGTATGTTAAGTAAAGCCTGAGACAACACATTTGATGAAAAGAATTAAAAACCTGAATAGCTACCCTTCTGAGGAACACCATCAATCCTGTGCACTGAATGAGGCAGGGATCCTGTGGAAATATAGTATGTGATCATGTAAATTAAGGTTGCACAGGTAAACTTAATTCTAGCATTTCCTAACTTTAATGTGCTTGATTTTTTGCAACCTTTGCAATACTTTAGCATTATTTTAATGCAATAGTATATATCAGAGATGGCTAAACTTTCTGACCCTCTTGGCCACGTACAACAATCTTCAGATGTTCGAGAGATGGGGTGCGACTGCCAGGTCTTGGGGCTTCAGACTTGCAGGAATGGGGGGTCTCGGGGCAGCTCCATGGGAGGTGCCTGCCAGGGGTTGGGGCTGAAGTCCCGAACTCCCCTTCCCCACTGGGCAGAAGCCAGAGGCGGCATGTCGCCCCCTTCTGATTTTTGCCAGTGTTTGCTGGCCGTGCTTGGTCATGTGGTGCTGTTGGGCCCCCTCCCTGCACGGCAGCTGGCAAGCTGGGAGCTGTGGCCCTGGGGAGAGGCAGCTGCAAGTAGCTGGGAGCTGCAGGAAGAGATGCTGCTTTTGCTACTGCTTCTCCCTTCAGAGCTAAAGCAGAGGCCCCTCTCTGCAGCTCACAGCTGTCTTGCCACTGCCTCTCCACGCAAAGCTAACCCCTGGGAGCTGCAGAGAGGTGTCGTTGAGAGTAAAGGGTGGGGGTGTGCTGGGGGTTGTGACTCAAACTGTTGCGGGGGTTTTTTAATTGTGCCCCCCCCCCCCAACAAGCATCAGTGATCTTTGGCAGAAGCCCCTAGCACCACTCCCTCCTTCCTCCCCCCTCAGGGCAGAAGCCCTGAACTCTCCTCTGAGTCTGGTAGGCGGAGAAGGAGGGAGAGGGGCGGGGGGAGGCTCCACAAGCCGCACTTTAACTGTACAAGAGCCATAGTTTGGCCACCCCAGTTATATATATTTGAACTTGCTTGCCTGTAGGGGGAGCATACGGAACGATTGCCTTGATTTTACTTTGTTTAAATACATACCTAGATAAATTTAAGCAATTGCTTTTATTTTTTGTCTTACCCTCACCCTTTCTGGAATTATATATCGTTCCCTCCTTTTCCATTTCTGAGGCCTTTATTCATATCAGGTACTTTATAATGACACAAGTTTATCTATATCTGTATGTTTCTGTCTGTGCATTTTGATTTGGCGAGAGAAAGAGAGATGTGTTTTCCTAGCCAAGCTCTCCTTTTCATGCCTCCTTTTTGTTCTTGCTTAGTCTCCTTTTTTGTGTCCCTCCCTTCTCTGTTCTGCTTTCATTTTGAGCGTTTTTTGTTTTCTCTCCCCTCACCCAACCCTCAAAATTCCAGAGTGAAACTGACATAAACTTAATCAGTTTCATTTGTAGGACAAAATATTTTTTGTGAGTTTCAAAGTGAAACTGACTAGGACAGAGTCATTTTCATTCCAGCACTTAATTTTAATATTCCCACCTGTACTGCAGGAACAGTCCTCCCCCAAAATATTTTTTGTGGGTGGATTTTAAATGTGGTTTTGCCTGGAAATGCAAGAAATTCTCAATCTCACTCCTAATTTAATTTAAGTGGTATGTATGTGTGTGGTGATGGGGGGCGAGGGTTTTTTTTTTTTTTTTTTAGCTCTCTATATATTTACTTACACACAACTAATGGTAGAATGGAAGAAATAGAAAATATATTAAGTATAAGAAGAAATAGATTAGAAGATTCCACTCAACTATGGCAAATTATGTTGCTCTTTAAACCCTGGAATCAGAAACCTGCTTATTAACATTGAAAGTAAAAAATAGTGCTTCTAAACTTCAATGCCACATAGGAAAAAATGATTTTTAAAGAGAATTGATATTTCAGAATAAAAAAACAATTTAGGGAAGCTCAAGTTTTTGCACTACTTTGGGATGTACAATATTAGAGCTTCCCAGTTTCATTGACATTTTTCCAGTGTGAATGTATGTATACATGAAAATTATTTTCAAAATGGTTTTCTAGATGTTTAGCTCAACCTAAGATCTAGTTGACATTTAGGGAATATTACAAAAATACTGCTTTCTGGGTTTGTTCATTGCATAAAATTCTCCAAGGAGAGGAGAGATGCTGACCTGTGCTTCCCCCCCCCCCCCCCCCCCCTTTTTACTAGTAAACATTTTTTTTTGTGTTGTCTAGGCTATCAAGTACTAGCCCCTACTGCGTATTATGATCAGACTGGTGCCTTAGTAGTAGGCCCTGGAGCAAGAACTGGCCTTGGAGCACCAGTCAGATTGGTGGCCTCAACTCCTGTTATAATTAGTTCTGCAGCAGCACAAGCAGGTAAGTATTAGACCCGCCACACATTTTTTTTCAAGTTTTATATTGAAAATTCTCACTCTAATCTTTGTTGAGGAATATCCAGTATTGATTACAGTTCTTACTCTATGTAAACCCTGCAAAGATTGCTGGTTCTGAAAGATATACCATACATGCTCTCCTTCCTTTTTCTCTCATGCCTTCCCCCATACAGGCACGCCCGTACAAATACGGCTGCTTCTCAAAGGTATAGCATCCCTCCCTTTTTTTCCTCACCCCTCTCCTCATACACATACAGGCACGTCCCTGCAAATATTGCTGCTTCTAAAAGAGTGCATTCTTTCTTTCCCCTCTCCCCACGCATATACATGCACTTCCCATCAGTCTCTAAAAGGATGCTTTCCCTTGAGAAGCACCATTTCATTGCTTCGGCCTGGCAGAAGGTTATGGATTGCCCTGGGGCCTCATAGAGAAAGCAGCAAGGATTAAAATGTACAGTGGATATAGGAAGAAAGGGAGAACTTAATGACATCAGAAGGTTCTGGTTCTATTTTCTACCCTTCATTAGTTGTAGGGTCTGGTGCTCTTATTTGTTTAGTACATCGTAACTCCTGGCACCAGATGGACAAAATGAACTTGTAGAAAATCTCAGAAAATAAGACTTTGTTGGCCCTCTCCAGCTGCTTATTTTTATCCAGAGCTCATTTTTGAGAGTTGCAGATGAAGACATCTTTCAATTTATGTTAGTTACAACTCTGCTATCCTAACCTTGATTACCAAAATCCCGTTCTGCACACAGTCATGTCTACACTGAAAATTTTCTGAATTGCATTGACAATTTCCCACAGCCGCAATTATCCAAAAATAGAATTGTCTTAATTTTTTTCCTTGGATAATCAAGATTGTATAATATTGCAAAGTATATTTTAGTCCTTAATTTAAGGTGTACATATCTACTTCTTTGGGAGGGATCCATGAACATATTATTAGATCTGAATAATCCATTTGGAAGGTCAAAATGTTTTAGAGAGCCATTATGATGATTGAAAACATGTGTCTTACAGCTGCAGCAGCTTCAGCTGGAGGAACAGCAAACAATCTCGCGGGAGCCACGAACGGTCTATTTCGGCCACTTGGTGCCCAACCACAACAGCCGCAGCAGCAAACAAATAGTAGTCTACAATCTAATTCATTTTATGGCAGTAACTCTTTGACCAATAACTCCCAGAGCAGTTCCCTTTTTTCACATGGTCCTGGCCAACCAGGAAGTACTTCTCTTGGCTTTGGAAGTAGCAGCTCCTTAGGAGCAGCTATCGGCTCTGCACTTGGTGGATTTGGCTCATCAGGTAGGTTCTCTAATATAGTGAGGAGATTTTATGAGATTTGTGCTTTAAGGAAAAAATACATGACTCTTGTATCCACACATGTTTCCAGATAGAACTTGAAAAATAGGTTATTCAGGTTTAAAACAAAAATAGCCACATAATCTAGAGAGAAGAGCAAGAGGCTATTTGATCCACTAGGCCGTCTGTATAAGAAGCAACTTGTTCTCTTAATAAATTAGTTATAAAAAGAAAATACACCTCAGTCATAAACCTCTCCAAAAATAATTACTCTCCTATAATAAGCACTGTACACTGGTCTAGAATGTTCTTGTGTGTGTTTATTTTTAGGAAGTTTCTCAGGCAATACTGCATTTTGTGATTTTAAAAATATTATAAAACCATTGATTAGCCCATCGCTTTTGAGGTGTAACTCGCTTTTTATGTCTTGAAAATTTTTTTTAAATGATTTTAAAAGTATTGATTGAAATAGTATTTGACACACACACACACACACACCAGATATGACCAAGTGTTGTGCTCATCCTTAAATGATATTTTAAAGGGCCTTAGGCTGTGATTCTGCAAAGAGTTACTCCAATTAGTAGTCTCATAGTCTTCATTTGGATTGCTCTGATAAGTATAGTTAAGCATGCCTGTAATTCTGGGCAGGATTGTGGCCATAATCATTATCATAGATGTCCCAAAATTGAGTTGTCTGTTTTGAAAAACACTATCTATGACACATAGCCATAATGTTCTTGATCTTTTTTTAATTGTAGTAGAAACTTGACACATACTCTTTTTATTCACATAAGAGCACATGGAGAGGTAGCTTTTCCTGTTAAAATCATTTGTTCATAAACTCTACGAGCTGGAAACTGAACTATCTTTGTAGAAAATCTCTTCCTCAGCTAAGTTTATTTTAGAAAAATAACATCAGTAGAACACACTAACAATTGCATGCGCTTTGCAAATGAATAAATATTGGGGCAAAATTTTGAGCTTACACACTTCAACAGAATTCTTTTAAGTACGGCATATATACAGGTTGTCTCAACATTGTTTTGCACTAAAGAATATGAATAACATTCATTGTGATAAAACTACTAAAGCTAGGAAATCCAGAATCAAAGCTTACATTCTGGCCTTTATGCCAGTTTGGGGGGATTTAAGAGCACCCAAATATGACCCCTTTATTTAAAAAAAAAAAACTAGAAGAGTATTCAGTTGTTCTCAAATGATCTCAAGCAGTGTTGATGCAGATGGGCCTTATTTGCAAAGTAATTGTGCGTTCCCATTTCTGAACTTTTAAATGTAGATTTCTCCGCTGAACCACTCTGTAGTCTTTCTGTGTACTGTTAAACAACAGCCCTGTTCTGCTCCAGATTTGATTGCACTTTATTGGCTGATGAAGTGAATCGTATGTGTATATATATTTTTAATTTATAAGATATAAACCCTGTAGGAAATCTCTAAACATGTAGAATATTTTTAAATGCACAACTTGTTGAGCAGCAGCATAAAAAAGACAACCCCACAACTTAAATAAATGTCAGCCATGTATCGGCCCACCACTGAGGCAAAAATGACCCTTCCAGCATGTCTTGAAAGTCAACAGATTGAGCCTCTGTTATATAGAAGTGGGTGCCTTGGCCACAGCCCCCAGATGCTGAAATCTCTCAATCGTTACCCCAGCTGACTTTACTGACAGGGCAGCCCTTCATGAGGAGAGAAGCAGTCGGTGTTTTGTATTTTGAGAAGTGTAATGGAACCCTTAGGATGAGTTGCTACCTAAAACTAATATATTCAGGTGCCCTTGTGCCAAGTATAGTTGATACCTACCAAACCACAGCCTTTTTTAAAAGCTATATAGTTGCTGATAAAAATACTAATTATAACAGCTTTGATAACTGAACTGAACTTTACAACTCCTTCCTTGTAAAATGATGTTAATGCATACTTGCCACAAATTCAAGGGGAATTTGCTTAATAGTTGACTTGACAGAGCTTCTCTCTCTGTCTCCACTCAGTGCCTTTCAAGACCTGGGTACTAATTAAATGGGAAGAATGAAGACTGACAGGCAAAAACGTAGCTCTTCCCTGTAAAAATAAAAATTTTAAACAAAATCTAATTAGGCACTCCAAAGTAAATCTGTGGTAAACCTAATATCCTAAGTGACTGACTGGCTGGGGAACAAAGTGGCGCAAAAAGAGGCAGTCATGCTTGTGATGACTATGAATTGTACTACTCTGCTCTCGTATATAAGTTACACACACAAACTTACATTAAAAGAACATTGTTAAGGATGCAGAGTCAAGCACTTAGGAAATGCTCAGTATTAAGGTTGCTCGTGCACCCTTAATTTGGCCCTGTTGTGCACATGCATTATGCTACAATTTTAATTACATGATCATGACCTATTTATTCCACAGGACCCCTACCTTATTCAGTGCACTAGATGGACCTGCTTTTGGGGATGAATCAGGGTTGTATAGTGAAGGAGAGTCTGTACCAGCTTTCTTCATTTATTGTAGAAGTTGGAAAATGTGTAGTGAGGCAGAGGAATGCAGGAAGAGAAAACATGGTTTCATGGCGAAGGCAGTTGGATGCTGCCCTGGAGAATTGGGTTCTATTCCTGCATTTACCACAGAGATCCTGTGTTATACTGGGCAAGTTACTTAAATCAAACTTTTCAAAGGTAGTCATTAATTGTGTTCCTCAGTTTGTTGGTGCTGGACTTGAGACTTTGGGGTCTGATTTGCAGAAATGCTGAGCACTCACAGCTGCAACTGAAGTCTGAGGTAATACACCCACTCATCTCTCAGAGCTATTGTGAAGATAAATTCATTACTTTTGTGAAGCACTTGGATACTATAGTGAGAAATGCCACAGAAAAATCAATGAGGAAATTATATGTAGTAAATAAGATATGGGGTCACCTATTGAACAGTAAGAGGAAAACAAAATATTGAATAGCTACTCATTAAGACATCTCTATGCACTGAAAAAGGTAGTCGAAAAAATAGTATGTAATCATGTAATTAAAGATTGTATTGTAATGCATACTCCCAAAGGGGCCACATTAGGCAACCTTAATTCTGGCATTTCCTGACTTGTGAGTTCTTGCACTTGCAACCTTCATAACATTCTTTTAATGTAGTTCTTTGTATGCAATTTCTTAGTTTTTAAAAAGGTCAACTAAAAAAACAAAATTCAGTCATATTGCATCAAGTAGACACCCATATTGTTCATCAGCAGGGTTGGTACCTTTAGACCCATTCTCCACTCCTCACACTTCTCGTCCCAGGTTTCTTAATATCTCCCAGCTCCTTCTATCCAGTGCCCGTGCCCAGCCAGTCCCAGTTCCATTCTGTGGCCGCCCCCTCGCCCCCCAGCCCCATCATCCCCTAACTCCTTGTCTGATATGTCTCTGTCCCTGGGCTCCTTTTCTAGTGTCAGTGTCTTGTCTCTGCCCCCCAGTTCCTTGTCCCAGTCTCCACATTGGCATCTCCTCTGATCTTAGGCCTCCTTTGATTCTTTCTCCTTGCCCAGTATGCTCCCAGTCCAAACCTCCTTGTCCCATTCAGTGCCTGGGCCCATCAGCAGAAGGCAATAAGAGCACAGAAGAGAGTGTCTCCATACTATCAGTTCTGGTGTCCAGCCCTGGCACAGCATGTTGCGTGGAAAGTCCTGCTTGGTCTTGGGGGAGGGGATATGCCTAGTGTAGACTTTTTGGAGATTTTAGCTGACACTCTAGTCTCTACTGAGCATATGCAAACTATTTTCCCCCCCAAAGGCTTATCATTTGAACAAATCTGGACAGTTTTTACAGGGACAGCAAAAGGCTCATCCCTGACACAAAGGCCACCCCCAGCCAAATTTAAAGTTTCTGCTCCAAACCATGGGGATACTAGAGCTTCTTAAAAGTTGCCCAAATTCATAAGTAAATAGGGTTACCATATTTCAGCAAGCAAAAAAGAGGACGGGGAGCCCTGCCCTTACCCTGCCCCAGCCCCGCCCCTGCCCCTCCCTCTTTCCACCCCCCTCAGAACCCCCAACCCTTCCCCTGACTGCCCCCTCCTGGGACCCCTGCCCCTAACTGCCCCCCAGGACTCCACCCCCTACCTAAGCCTCCCTGCCTCTTGTCCCCTGACTGCCCCCTCCTGAGACCCTCCCCCCATCCTAACTGGCCCCCTAGGACGCTACCCCCTACCTGTATCCTGACT